CTCTCTAACCCGGTCCTCCCCAACCTGAGGTCTGAAGGCGATCCCCTCGCGTCCGGCTTCTATCACAGCAGGGAAGTCCCGGTCCCTGCACAAGAAAACGGAGGTGAAGAATTGGTTAAAGAGGTCCGCTTTATCCTCTGACGCAACCACCAGATTGCCCCGCATATCCTGCAGGGGCCCCACATTACCCGGCGCCTTCTTCATCCTCCCAATATATTTGAAAAAGGACTTTTTGTTATCCTTAATCCTGGACGCTAATCCGAGCTCTATCTCCGCCTTGGCCTTCCTAACAGCCCGCCTGCAGGCCCGAGCAGAGGAGGTATACTCCTCTTTGGAGATTACACCCCCCTTCCACCGGGCGTACGCCACCCTTTTGGCAAGCAGGCATTCCCGGACACCCTTGGTGAGCCAGGGGGGCTTTTGGACACTCCTGCCCGCCTTGCTTCTTGTCGGGATGGACACCCCTTGGGCCCCGAGTATCGTTTCCTTAAGGAACGACCACTCCTCTTGGACGCTGAGTTCCTCTGCCCTCAAGGACCCCAGTTCCTCTCCCACTAATCTCCTCATCTCACTGAAGTTGGCCCTCCTGAAGTCTAGGGCCACCACCTTGCTGCGGGCCCTTGACACTCTACGCTGGATGGTGAATTCCAGCACGCGATGATCACTATTGCCCAGGTGGTCAAGAACCTGGAGGCCTCTTACCAGGTCGTCGCCTGCGGCCAGTACCAGGTCCAGCAGAGCATCTCCTCTGGTGGGACTGTGCACCTCCTGAATCAAGTGGAGGTCCTGCAACTCGGCCAAGAACCTCCTGGAGCGGTCCGTCCCGGCTGACTGCTCCTCCCAGCAGATGTCCGGGTAATTAAAATCTCCAAGCCCCCTGAACCAAGATCACAACTGGGGAGCTAGGGCTGGGACATACTTAAATCCCAGCCCCCACTCCACCTCACGATTGGTGAGCAGGGTACTGGGAAACTCTTATTTCCCAGCATCAGCTGCATGATGGTGGGGCCAGTGCTGGGAGGCCCTTATCTCCTAGAACCAGCTCCATGACCATGGGGCTGGTGTTGGGAGATAAGGGTCCCCCAGTGCCATTTCCACCATCACAGAGCTGGGGTTGGGAGATAAGGGTCTCCTAGCACCAACCCCGCCATCACAGAGCTGGTGCTGAAAGCTCCTTACTGGCAGAGGCAGCGGAGCACGGAGCTGTGGGGGCAGGGGAGGGAGGAACAGACAGGGGAATTTGTTCACCTCTCAGCTCTGCACTCAAAGAGCTGGGCAGGGAACAAACTCCCCAGCCTGTTGCCCCTCAGGTCAATGGCCATGGAGCTGGGTGGGGAACAAGCAGCTCAGCTTTCCTCTTAGCTTTAGCTTTCCTCTGCCCAGCATGCAGGGCAAGGGCTGGGAACTGTCCTGGTCAAGGATGGTCACAGCCCCATGCCCCAGTAGGGTGACTGAGGCACAGGGCTTGGAAAGAACTGCAGGGGTAGGGTAGGTCCCAGCCCCCTGCCCCAATTCACTTGTGGGGCAGCTGCAGCTCTTTCCAAGTCTCCTGCCCCGGATTGGGGCGCCAAGGCCAGGAGCTCCCTGCTGCTGCGGCAGGGGCTCATTGTGGGGCTGCAGGAATTTTAGTGCTAAGAGCAGAAAATCTGCTGCCTAGCCCCTACATGTGTAGACACCTGCCTGGAAGCACTTAATCTGCAGAAGTTTACTCCTGAGTAAACTGAGCCCAGACCAAATGCATGTGTAGGCGCACTCATAAGGCAGTTAATTACCCCCTTTCAACAGTGTCTGAGCAAATCTTGGAGGAGTCAGTAGAGTGCATCCATCCACTGCAACCTGGTACTGATTTTGAGAATCAATAAAAAAATCACTATTTAAGAAAGCATAGAGAGTTTTGCCTTAGGGCAAAGCATTAACACAAGATTTAAGCACTTGCAGTGACTAATTCTAGGAGTCTAGCTTGAGAGCGTTATCCAGAACCTCATGTTAGATGCCTAGGCCCTCTATACAATGCACAGGGAATTAGCATCTAGTGATGATATATGAAACAAGCAGCTCACTGGGTGCGTCTACATGTGAAATCAAGGTGAATGAATAAACTCCCATTATATCACACCAGAGTTTATTGCTCCTGGGTGCTGTATTTGAATGTGTGCCAAGGACCAGCACACTGAGACAGGTCAAAGAAGCCTTTGCTGGCAGGGCGTGGGCTGGGGGTGGAGGGAGAGGGTCAGCCTGCCAGCTGAGGGCTGCTCTGACCCAGCTAAATATGCTGCAGAGGGGCTGGCTGGGGCTTGAGCATCCTCATACCCCATCCAGCCCCATCAGCATGTGCACATGTGTTCTAAGAACTAAAGAATGCCGCCACTAGATGCAGCTACCTAGAGATAGTCAATAAGGAAATGGGGAGGATAAAGGTATGTTTGAAATCCCACCCCTCCTTTGGACTTAGATCCCTTACTCAGAGCTGCAGGGAGACACACGTGCCAAATCTTCCAAAGAACTGAGCAGGCCCACTTTTCTTTTAAAACATGGTTGTGGGAAGAAGGAAAGATCCCCCTAATAGTCATCTGATTGGAGCACTTGGTGAACAACATTTAATTATCTAATCTATCAGAGAGGGTCCAAGCTCACATCTCCCATCTCCTAGAAGTAGTGGTACAACTAGGTCAGGGCAAATGGGGCAACCATTCCAGGCACCAACTTGGGGGAGGTGGGGGAAGGGGGCTGAAAAAAGCAGCTGCTCCTGGCAGCCACATGATCATGGCAGCAACCAGAAATCGCCACTGTGCCCTGGGCTCCCAGCTACATCCATATGCTGCTGCCTAAGAGACTACTTGGTTTCAGTCCATGCTTTCAGAAACATTTAAGCATTTAGGATTAAACAGTCATTGAATACAATACAGAAACAGTCATGGCATCAGGGTCTGGAATCCTGGGTCTCCCTCACAGTCCTTATCACTGGACTAGACAGTCAGGCTCCTTCTTGTGCTCTCATTTTGACTGAGGTCTCACTAAGACCTAATGAATCTTATATTCCTTTATGCACAGGGGCAAGTGGGTCTGCAGAATGACCCCACTCACAACAACTTATAACGTGAATCCCCCAGCATCCTATATGTTTTGCAGCCCTGGGCTGGGCTGGGCTGTCTTCTGGAATAGAGCAGGATTGGCCCTGCCCCTCTTCTTCCTAGCCAGAGCACTATTACTGCTCTGGCGGGCTGAGGGACTGCAGCAGCTGCCAGCCTCCCTCCCCCCCAAATGGCTGTGCAAGCAGGGATCCCCCCTCCTGCTGCTCTTCCATGGCAGGGACCCCAGAACAGGGTCCCAGCATCTGGTCATGCCCTCGGTCCCATACTAGCTAATTCTGAGAGGTGTCTGTGTTGGTCTCCAATTTCACTGGAATAAACGCAGACAGCTAGTGGCTTGCAAGTGCAAATGCACCCTGCAGATAAGAAGAGCTTGAAACTAATGTGAGAGATATTTTCTTTTGTAGGGCTTGATGGGCTGATAAACTTTGTTCTGACAAGCAACCTGCTGGTTGTAATTTGTCAGTCTTCAAAAGGGGACAGAGAAAGGTGTTAGAAATGACCTGGTTTGCAGACAGTATAAAGAAGCAGGGAGAGGGAGATTGAAAAGCTCAGTATCATCAACAGATGCAAGATCTGACAACACTCCCGCCCCGTGAGCAGCAAGTAGGGAAAAGCCTGGAATGGTGCAGGGAGGGTGGGGGTTTATACCCCTCCCTAACAAAAGCGTCATGCCAGGGCCTGGCCACACCTTCAGCTCAGCATTATGGAAGGGAAGGGAGGGCTTCTCTAGCACCTTCTGGCTTCTAGCTGGAGCCACAGCAGGCATGTGTATACATTTCCTGATTCAAAAGTGAATGTCTATAAATGCTTTCAATATAAAGCTATTATGTAACAAGAATGACCTGCCACCCATCTTTTAACTAAAAGAAAATGTGCATTTGAACATGCATTTTGTGAGGACACCATTCCCAACATGCATCCCAGCAGAGTGTGGTTGGCACACTCTGAGAATGCCTCTCAGGTTTGGGGGCCATCAGACATTTAGGGAAAGGAACACCTACTTTCTGGAACCCAGCTCAGCTTAGGCCTGAGCTAAGAGCTGAGATGCTCAGCCCTGCCAAGACTGGAGCAGTTCTCGGTATCCAGGTGCCCATGTTTTTGGAATCCTGCCTTTAGGACTTAAGTCCAGTGGTATTCATATACCTCGGTGCTGTCCAGACTTGAACAGCCAAGTTGTTTGTATGTGGTTGCTGTAAGTTCCAGAACAAAGGCAATAAGTAAAGGGCATAGGAGGAACAGAAAAATCTCCTAATTAAAAAGAGTGACAAAGTTATCCAGTTTATGCTGACTGCAGCCAAGATAAAGATGCATCTCATGTCTTTATCGCATAAATAAATCTAGTGAAAAACTAAATATTTTAACACTGTTGTACAACACTACCATATATCAAAACAAATGGGACTATAGACTTATCTTGTCTTTAGCCTTGATTGATAAAATGCAAAAAATTTGCCTGAAATTGTGAGAAGCTAATCTGTTCTGTGCAAGTCCTCTCTGATCCAGATATATGTCTGAGAACATGTTTTCCAATCAGAAGGTGAAAGCTTAAACAAGAATTTGGCAACCAACAGGAATAAGTGGTATTGGTCTGTCTACAGCTGCCACAGAAGATTTCTTGTTTGCTTTTTCGAGAATCACTGTAATTAATGCCTCTCTCATTTCTCTGGTGAGGCAACTCTTATTGAAGGCTCCTTGAAAGGTTTTCTACATAACAGAGCTCAGCAGATTCTAGAAGGATTTATAGAAGCTATCAAGCCCCTGAGTTTCACACTTTTACATCCAAATTACTTTTTTGTTTTTAATTACAAGCAACTTGACCTTATGAAACGATGTAAATAAGTCCTGAAGTCAAGTCTGTCTGCATATTATTTCCTGTTACCCAGTTCTTCATTTAAAACGTACCTGCAGGTGTCTGCGATCCCATGTGCATGAATGGAGGGAAGTGTGTAAGTCCAGATGTCTGTGACTGTCCATCTGGTTGGAGAGGCAAGAGATGTCATAAACGTAAGTACCTCTGCCTCCCATCAAACACAATATTGTTTCTTAGTTAGGGTAGTCAGCATAATTTGCAATCCTTTTTTAACATTAGAAAACTATATAGTGACTAGACTTTATTTCGCTGCTTCAGCAGCGTGAGGAGAAAACAGTTTTATGTACAGGTAATACAAAATGCTATAAACATTCAATGCTTGCAAGAAAAGGTGTGGGGGGGAAATTCAAGCCCTATTCCATGCAGCTGTTTGTTATGCATATTTTTATGGAAATTCTTTTCATGATATTAAACCTGAAGTACAGACTTTATGTTTTAACAGCTATACATATTCTGTTATATTTTACTGAGAAATGCCATGTATTTCAAAATACTTTACTATTTAAAGCCTGTAGTAAAGCTTTCCAAGCTGATATACTCTCAAGGTCATCAGATACATTTCAGTGAATAATTCTGGTTACTGATGTGTTCTTACATGTAACTGCAGTAACTATTACATGTAACTGCAGTTTACATGGAAAAAAAACTTTAAAACTGTATTCTGATTTTAAAATGTTTCAGAGAATATATTTCATTACATGGCTATTCATTATGATGATGTTGGCAGATAAGCTGAATAAATTTACTATCAAGATGACACTCTGCATCAAAACATTACTATATTGGCTTTTCACCCCTTGAGTCCTGGTGGTGAGTGTGGCCTGAGCATCAGCATGATGTAAACTTCACCACTGGTCTTAAAGTACAGTACTGATCATTTCTTCTGAGATTCTGCATGAAGTTTCAGACAGACCCCCTACACTTTTCGTGCCAACTCTTAGAAGTCTTTCTATATGTAATCCAAATGTCAGTGGCAAACTTTAAACAGTGATACAGCTGAACTCCATATCCTATTCATTTGTAAGCAAATATGAGTATGCAATATATTTAATAGAAAATCATTTATGAGTGAGTGGGACACAAGGGCTAGTGGTGCCTCCAGCAGACAGCCAGGCAGACTGAGAGCGCCAGTCTGACTTAGAAAGAATTTAACATCACCAAAATCCAGAATGCTAATTACCTTGTGAAGAATGCACATTAGCTTCTTTTGAGTCCTGAAAATGAGCACAGGAAGCAAATTCCAGCAAATCATACTCCAGACTTGGAATAAGGGATCATGTAGGCCTTCTCATTTGTCTGCTTTTTGGTTGTTTTGTTTAGCTGCGTGTCTGGAGAAGTGTCTGAATGGTGGAGAATGTATAGGTCCAAACATCTGTGAGTGCACTGAAGGCTGGACAGGACTGCTATGCCAGACTCGTAAGTAATTCTTTAATTATAGAAGTATTATAGCCAACCATGCTGGGATACAGATATAGGCAATAAATGTACTGCAAATATTTTCTATTGTCCATGAACAAGGTAATTATTAAATACTTAGCACCGGGTTTTGCCTCCCTTATTTGTGCAGCTCAGTACCTTATTGATTTCAAGGACACTTCTTCACTACAAGTAGAAGAGGCAAAGGAGGGCCCTCAATTACTTAAAAGGATGACATCAACGTGTTTGGCTTGTTTGTTTAAAAAGAAGAGAACCGACCATATCGCCACAATTATATATAAAAAAGACAGCGTACATGCCTCTTTGGCCCTTTACTGTGCCAGCAAAATAAAGTGAAAAAAGAAGGAGCTAGACACCAGAAAAAAACAACTATTCTGTTCTCCCCGTCCAAGTGGAATGATGTGACAACAGAACATGCATTTTAAAACTAGATTTTAAAAGTTCTGTTTTAATAACCTCTTGACTCCAAGCATCGCACATTCAGAGTGCTCATGAGATGGGGGGTTGTTTCCAGATGTGATGGGATTGCAGCATCTGGCAGGGAAGAACACTGTTATTTTAGCTAGTGTGTCTTTCCAACTCATGCATGTTGCTAACACTGCTGTAGAAGGACAGTATAAATTTGAGGGTCTAAGTAAAAAATCAGCACATTGTCCCCTTTAAAGGTCACTCCTTCTCTCGCAGTGCTTAATTAAGTATTCTTTCTGTTCCAGTCAAGACCCAGCAGTTTTATAACTACTGCTTTGTTCCAAATGTATATTGGTTCTTTTTTTTTATTTGATTTTTTTTTAATTGTTATTATTTGATGACACATTTCTGGTTTAGCTCATTAGATATATAAATAAAGCCAGTTCCTCTCTGTGAGAGACTAACAAGACTCAATATTTTTTTAGCAGTTTCTGCTGTTTTACAACAGACATACAAGTTGAACAGCTGAGGCAATTTCTTTCCCTTGATTTAATCAGGCCCTTTGAAAACAGTTCCAAATCAGTATACCTGACATTCACTCTGCTTTTACTATTTTTTCCCAGTGTTTTCAATGAGATGGACAATTTAATCAGCTTTTTGTCCAAAAATTGCTGGCGCTTTGCTTCCAGATCTCAGAGCAAATTTAAATGATGATCATTAAGAATATGGAATTTTGCTCTTTAAAAAAAAAAGCAGACTATTGTGGGAGAGTAGATGCTTGGGTCTTAGAGGCTAGGTACAGACATTCAAAAACAGGAGGCAAAATCAATCTAAATTATGCAGTTTTCTGTAAATGACATTGTTTAGATAGGTAGTAAACAGAACACACATTCACTCTTTGGTGGGTGGAGGGCTGGGGTGGTGGTGGGGGAAATCTTAAACCCAGTTCTGCCATTTTTAAACCAATCTATGTGCGCCAAACTTCTGTTCTGTTATGGGCATAACTTACCCATATAAGTGATACCCTGATCACTTATACCGGTAAACCTGTAATGTCTGTACCTGATCATACTGTTGCTCTAGGGTGTTCAGTAGTGCATCAGGGATAAAGCAGTGGAACCAGAAAATCATCTCTCTCTCGGATGTTAGGTATAAAAAGCTTTTTTTCCACTGAAGTGAAACCCAGTAAAAGGAGGCTGGATTTCTGTGTTGTGAATACAGGAATACATTCCCGAATATCCAGGATTCTATACAAAAAAAATACACACATGGACATGACAAGCTTGCCCAAGTGCCCACAGAAATGTCCGCCTCCATAGCTGCTGGCACTGCCAAATTGCTAATGGTAATGTCAAGAACTGGAACTAAACACTGGTTACCACTCTACACTATGTTATTACACTGGTATTACTCTGGCCCTTTTCCTATCACCAGGCAGCCATGCATACTATGGGCCAAATTGAAGCACTGCACAACTTTCGAAACCGCTGGAATCGTATCAAGGATGCATTTGGCTCCTCTGTTCAAAGCTGCTTTGTTCAAGCCTTTCAGAGTTTAAACCTACAAGCTTTCTAAATATTCTGCTTAGCACTTGGACTGCCTGCCCTTTTTCTAGTCATACAAGCACAGCCATATTCTCAATATTTTCTCTATTCTCAATTAAAGGAAAAAGAAAAAGAAGAGCACTCTCCATGAAAATCCCACCGCAGGTTCCTGAGCAGATGTAGGGGATGGGGAGCGGGAAGGCCAACAGCACATCATGGTCAAAGGCACAAAAGTCAGCTAACAGACCTAAAATAATTGCTACGGTTACCTGACTGAACTCCCCCTCCAGAGAAAGATTAACACGATCAGTGCAGTCTCACCCAAGGCTAAAGTCAAACTGAATGTTCAGAAAGACGTTTTGGAATTTAAATGTAGCTAGAGATGCCATGTCATGGGCTTCTCAGTCTTCCCTAAAACTCGAAAATATAAAGTGTGGAGTTTACCAGCTTTGGAGACCTGGCAATTAATTTCAATAATTAAAAACTTTAATAATGGCTCCAAACCAGCTTTGCTAGGTTTCACCTGAAAAGAGGAACATGGATATATATCATAGCATTTCATCAAGCAACGCCAGCTGAAACACAACCAAAGAACAATCTCAGTGCTGCTGCAATGACAATTAGCTCAGTCTAAATCTGAGTGATTTTATCTGCTTCATATATTGAAAATACTTCAACAGAGAGGAATACCTCATGCTGCAACCAGCTGTAAATGTAACAGATTAATCGGTTTATACATCATGAAACAGTTCTGCTGATTAGTACTGTAAGGTTGTTATGATACAAGCAAAAAAGAAGTATTTCACTTCTTGTGCAACCATGGCACTGAATTTAGAAATGTTTTATGGTATAATCAGACCACTGCACCCACCATCTTCTCTTCAGTTTTACCAGTTACTGAGTATCAGTATATTACAGAATTTATCAAGGATAAAGCTTGGAAAGAGAATCCTGTGTTTCAATAGCAATGAATGAAATACAGTGATACAGTGCTCCTGTTCTATTAGGCTTTAAATAAAAAGGTCAGTCAACAAAGTAGTGTTCTTCCCCAGTCATCTGTAGCTGAATAGAATAGCTGCTGAGAGAAGATCGATAAAAGAAGTCATTTACAACAAATAAGGTGCATAGATATCTATAATCTTGATGGTATTAAGGATTAATGGTTGCATTTCAAACCTTATTGCAGGCCTAGGGAAATTACCTTTCAGAAAGTCAAGTTGAAAGATAAGTTGTTTCAAGTGTTCAGAATGACCTAACCACAGAAACATTAGTAGCAGCTTCATAGTTAAGGCTAAACATACATGTCCATGCTAAATCCATAAGCATTTTCTACCTGGCACTCTTTTTTAATAACCAAAAGTGCTCTAAAAGTTCTATATTCTGAATTATTTGACCATCACATCTGGCCATTTTAGCTTTCTACCAATTATTTAGATTTGAGGCCCCTTGTAAGCACTTTCTGGCTGCCTCTAGCCTCCTCTTTTGTGTGCTCACACAGACACCTCCCTCCCTCTTTTTAGGTACTGGGAAGGATCACTAAATCAAAACAATGAAGGTCCAGTCCTACCATCTGATTCACATTGGCAAATTTATGCCAAATCAGAGCACCAGTGAAGCCAAAGGGTTTTTCTATAGGCACAGGGGCCTGTGTGCATAGATCAGAAAGTAGAATTATACCCCGGGCCTAACAATTAATTATAAAGTATAAGAAAGTTATAGTCATGAGAGATCCTCAGCATTAAAATTCAGGCTGTTATCTGCTTTTCTAATATTATTGAACACATACTGGCTTCTCATTTGCCCTTCAGAATATCTTCTCTTTATTTGCATGTTATAAGTGTCAAGCTTATAGCCTTATAATTTCCTGAGCATTCTTGTTCACTCCCTCGCTCTGAATGGTGTCTTAGGCATGCTTGCTTCTAGATTTTCTGTGTAACCCTTTCAATCTTTAAAAAGGCCCCTCAAAGATTGTCATTTGCATGCAAATTACAGTTCTGTTCTTTTAACACGTGGGGATAAATCCCTTTTTGTACTGAGCATTTATTGATTATAATTTTAACATAAGCTTGGCTTATTAAATGACTTTCCTCACTGAGTGTACAGGATAACACATACACAGCCTGTGTCATTTTTAGTGTTTAGTGGCTTAGCATCCCTTGTAAATACATTTATGAAATATTCATTTGGTTTTCAGTTCTGTTATCCTCTGCGATTTCAATTCCAATTTTCTTTTGAAATGTTTTAACTTTTTCCCTAACCACGTGCTTGTCTTTTTGCAGTACCATGGGGAGTGAAGGGACATAGTTTGCCCATTTCAATATTACTTTTTAAATGTTTTTTTCTCTTTCAGGCATTGTCTGAGAATCAAAGAAATTAGAGATGAAGGAAGGTCTGCTAGGCTCTCTGATCCTCACCACCATAAAAAACAGCTCCTTGTTCGGTTTGATTTTACACCTCCCAAGAAATATGGGTGTCCTTCAGGGGTCTGTGCTTGGACCGGTGCTTTTCAACATCTTTATCAATTATTTGGATGGGAGAGTGAAAAGCTCGCTGGCCAAGTTTGCGGATGACACCAAGTTATGGGGCAGTGTAGTCACGTCAGAACATAGGTTGCAGATACAGGTGAACCTGGACAGGCTCAAGAGTTAGGCAGACTGGAACTAGATGAAGTTTAACACTTCCAAGTATAAGGTGCTCCATCTAGGGGCAAACAACCCTCAACATATATACAGGCTCACCGGTGACAGCTTGGCTTGCACCATGGCCAAAAGGGACCTAGGGGTAATGATTGACCATTGTATGAATCATGGGCGACTGATGCCTTCTGAGTCAGGGGGGCGAGGGACATGTGCCCCCCGCAGTGACCAGTCAGCAACTGGGGGGGGGGGTCCCCTCATGGCCAATCTCACTGACCAGGGGGTGGGAGGGGTCCCCCACGGCCAATCACACTCACTGAAAGCAGCAATGGAGCTCCGGGAAGTGATCACGGCCATTTCTGGGAGCGCCGCAGCCACTTCATCCACCGTT